ATTCCCTGAACTGACAGCTCTAAGCAGAGGATGTTTCCAGCACTGGGGGCCGGGGGAGCTTTATTTCCCCTCTGCCTTGCAGAATGAGCCTAATAAAGCACATGGCTGGGTTTCATGTCTGAGGTGGGTGATGGAGAGAGCCCAGTGCTCCTCTCTCTGTGTTGAGAAGGGCAGTTGGATGAAGCTTTGGCTCCCGAAAGCTGCCGCCTTCGGCTCGGTGTGGCGCCGGCCGCGGGAGCCGCTCGGTGGCAAAGGAGGTGAGCAGATTCCCCAGACCTTCCTAAACGGGTGTCATCCATCTCCTCGGGGTTAGGTAGGTGGCTGTTGGCATTGCTGGAGCTCAAGTCCTCGCAGGGATGGTTGGCAGGGCTTAAGGGGGCTCCAAGGGGTCCCCCTCGCCTCTGGCATGTTAGACGCCAACCAGCCTGAATTTGGGAAGTTGTTCCTTGTGGTGACACCCTAAGCTCAACCTCCCCTCTTTTCTCCTCTCTCCAGGAAACACGCTTTAAACTGCCACAGGATGAAGCCAGCCCTTTTCAATGTCTTGTGTGAAATCAAAGAGAAAACAGGTAGGAAATCACTGCTGTCATTGTCTTAGTATTTTTCTTTTTGCTCTTCAAGGGTTTTATTTCCACCGAGTTTGCCCCCCCCATCCTTATTCCCCTCCATCCCCAGTGTAGCAGCACTTAAGTGGGGAGAAATAACTCGCTGGTATTTAATGCTTCTGGCAGTGGACGTGCATGATGCGGTTTGTGTCTGGAAGGGAAAATATCGCGGTTTAATTTCCATTGTATTGCCTCTTTTTATTTATTGCTTTTTCTGGGGAGAAGAGGGGAAAAAAAAATAATCCAAAAGCTTGCAGTTTAATTCTTTAGTTTCTTCCTTGAGACATGGCACTGTTTAAGGAAAAAAAAATAAAAGAAATGAAATCTGAGGGCAGAGTAGGGGTGGGAACCCAACAAGATGAAATTGTGCGGTTGTGCTTCCGTCACTGTTCAGGTAAACAGGTATCTTACTTTTTTAAAAATCAAGGGTTAACATGCTCTTGTCTGCCAATCATCCAGGCTAGCTCACGTAAGAGCGAGTTGTCAGTTGCCTTTAGTGAAAGCAATATATTAGATTGTTAGTTACTTTAGGATACTGTTGTTTTATGGCATGGGGTGTTCTCAGGCTTCTAAAGAAGCTAATGGCATGAGAGCGTTGGCTCTGCCGTTTCCCACTTTTCCAGACCTCCTACCATGTACTAACACACTTATAACACATCCCAGGGGGGCATTTAAATTTTAAAAGCAACAATTAAAAAATAGCAGTCATCAATCAAGAGTGATCTTAAACAACAGATGCTCAGGGAAGGACATTTAGCAACATGCACCACTTATTTATTTATTTGTCGGAATTTCCTTTTTCATTATTTTTTTTAATTAAAAAAAAATGGGAGGAATGATGGAAATTTGGCGAGGAGGGGGGGAGGTTTTTCTCCACCGTTGGGTTTCTGAGCTGACTGGAGGTGATCAGTGGGCGCTTTTATGCTGGTCCAGCTGCCTTGTTTTAACACGCTGCAAAGTACTTGTCTTTTCCCCCCCCCCCCTCCCCTTTTACAACAAGGACTGTAACAGTCAATAATTCATATCTAAACCATATAAGCAAGGGCATGACATGAATGAAAGTGACAATAAATATGATTGCACACCCAGTTGATATACATTGATAGTTGCACATAAAAAGGGAACAGCTTTCAGAAACCTAAATCTGGGGTTTTGTGTTGGTTTTTTTTTTCTTAAATAAATATATATAAATATATAAAACCTCCTAGTGTGAGCAGCTGATTGAAAATACAATTACTTGACTCTTGCAATATATATAAAATGACTAAGGGGGCCCTTTGTTAAGCATTGTTTGTGCAGCGTGTAGCCCACACAAAGCACCTACCGATGGCATTCGATGAAGTCCTGGCGGCTGCGTGGCCGGGTCTGACCTTCCTGAGGAGCCTTTCCTTACAGAGTTTCCCTAATAACTGGGCAGTGGGTTCCATATGGGAACCTCTGTAGAGTTCTTATAAGGTGAGGGAGTATGTGTAGAGATAAAATTTTATGGGTGGTTTTCTAGCTTTTCCCCAGGTGCCGCCCCAAAAAAAAGAGCCACCGAGTTCCTTTCCCTCTTCCCTCTTTCTCCTTTTATTTTTCGTCAGCCAAAGAAAATGTTTGTCTGCCTTTTCCTCGTGTGTATTTGATGCTGTGTACGTTGCCTGTGCAGGGGAACTGTTTGGCAGGGAAACTGCTGAATCCCAGCTCAGCTTTGCTGTTGGTGCAGTTGTCAAGTTAGGGAATCTGCAAAGACCAAACCTGGGAGGAAATCCAGTTGACTTCAGAGATGCTGTGGGGTCACAGTGAACAGAGGAGAGATGGGGAGCTGTACACTTCCCTGGTGCCAGGCTGTGATAATTGCTCTCTGCCAAGTGAAAATGAGAGAGATGGTATAGAGTGAAGCATGCTGCTGGAAATAAAGCATGTCCAGGTGTAGGTCTGGGCTGTCTTACATTTAAAAAAAATGTTATTTGTTCTTACTGTTCCTGGTTGACTTGGCTGTGGGGCTGCTGTGCGAAGGTCTCTGATGAAGTTGAATCAAGAGGTCTTCTGGAGTGTTGTTTAGCTATCCTCGGGTAGGTTTACGGTGAATTATTTTACTTTGCAAATTCAAAGACCTCCTCCCCTCTTCCCCCATCTGCATCTCCAAAAGTCACACTTTATAAGGAAGCAAACGGGGCCAGATGGTTTTGTGGGCTGCTGTGCGAAGGTCTCTGATGAAGTTGAATCAAGAGGTCTTCTGGAGTGTTGTTTAGCTATCCTCGGGTAGGTTTACGGTGAATTATTTTACTTTGCAAATTCAAAGACCTCCTCCCCTCTTCCCCCATCTGCATCTCCAAAAGTCACACTTTATAAGGAAGCAAACGGGGCCAGATGGTTTTGTTTTATTTCTTTTTTTTTCCTTTTTTTTTTTTTTTTTTTTTTTCCCAGTATTGCTTTGTGAGCCCAGTGCTAGGAGGAAGTTAGCCTTGTTTTTTCTGGGGCTGAGGGTATCGCCTGCTTCTGTTTGCTTACCCCCTTCCTTGTGGGCAGCGGAGTGAAAGTTGAGCCAACTTCCCTCTTTCCACTTTCCATTTTACTTCCCAGATTTTTTTTGCATGTATGGCTTTGGAAATCCTGGTGATTGTCTGCGGTCACTGGTGGGTGTTGGGAAGTGCGTGCGTACATCTTCCCCCCGGCGTTATGATGTGCAGAAATGTGCGTTTGGTTACCCCGCTGCCTGATTTAAGTGACTCCAGAGCCTTACGGAGACTTTACCACCGTCTCTTGCAACATTATGGCTAATATTTCACAGCATTAACATTGTCTTGAGCAAACCCAAAGTGTCCATAAAGTTCTTAGAAAAAGAGGTTGTCTGTATTGGCCGAAGAGTTCCCCTTTGCGCTTGGGCTCTTCAGTTAGTTTGATTTATAAACACTTTAAAAAATAACAATTTTAAAAAAACCCAACAACTCAGGGGTTGTCTTTTGTCTGCAACCTGGAGATTGTTTCTTTTGGGGTGATGTCTGTTGAAAAGTAACAAAAGTTGAGAGGTTTGATCTGATGGGAGCATGTGGGGGTGGAGGGGGGAGAAAAATTGCTGCTTAAATATCCGTTTAAGTTATCTGCGTTCATTTGGTGTGTTTTCACTTGCTGTTGGTCGCTTTGTTACAAGGGAAGGGGCAGGACTGCCTTCAAATGGCTGGCTGGCTTTTTGGAATAATAATTATGGAAATGGGAGGCATTGTTGTCCTAAATACAATTGATTCCTCCGTCAATAGGGATTGAAATCGGAAATCGCATGGCTGATTTATAAAAAGTTTGAAGGCAGAGAGGTAGGGGCTCTTGATTATTTTTCTTCCCCCTCCCTTGTTTTCTTTTCCTCTCTCTTTGGTATGTTGTTGGTTTGGTTTTGTGTTGTGTTTTTTTTTAAGCTGTTCCCTGCATGAGCAGAATAGCTAAGCAGAAGAATCAGGCAAGGCGTACGCAGACGTGGGGTCCTTGGATGGCAAACTGGAAAATATCTGCTGTCAAAATGCAGCAGCATCTATTTCAGCTGTGAGCCTTTCCCAACTCCCATCTCGTTCGGCGCGGACTGGCGGGGAGAGGCTGAGCGCAGGATATATGACCATTTAATCTGATTCCTCCTCCTTAAGAGCTTTTCCCATCCTTTCACTTTCTCTGCTCTTTTGGGGGGAGGTGAGGGCATCGGGCAAATTCTACTCCTTAAAAAGAGCCTGACTCTGTATTTTAGTTCCTCTGATTTTTATTAAACCCCTCGCCCTTCTGTGTTGAAAGAGTTCAGGGTTAAAAGAAAAATGTACAACCACCGATGGGGGGGGGGGGTGGAATTTACAAAGTGGAACATTTATAGACATCACTGATTACCCGTGCAGTTGTTTTTGAATAATGGATTTGTTTTTTGTTTAGGGTTTTTTTTGTTTTTTTTTTTGTTTTTTTTACATTTTAGAACATAAGAGACACCTTATATAGCTCTTAGCTACCTTTCCCTGTGCATTATCATCACCAAACTTAACTCAAATCAGATCTTTGGAGGAGGTAGAGTTTTTTTTCCCCTTCTTTTCTTCCTTAACACCCCTTTGTTCTCTCCAGCTCTGTGTTCAATTAACACCCCCATCACAGAACTGTAGTCTTTTTTTTTTTTAATGTCTGTTACTGTATTTCACTTCTGACACCTCTCTTATTATTCTTGCCTGCTATTTCTCTTTAATATAGCAATTACGATACGGGGTTTCTTTCTTCCTCCCTTCAATTCACCCCCTCCCAACTAAAGCCCCACGAAGAGCAGCACGGGGAGAAAAGGGGCAGCTGTGATGGGTGCAGTGCTGGTGGTTTTGGGGTCCTGGGCAGAGCTGTAAGCTGGGTATGCTGGCAAGCCCAAGGCCCCTCTACTGAAGTTTTTTGCAGGGCGGGATGGGGTGGGTTCCCCTTCTCTAGGGTTTCAAAGGCTACCCTCCCTCTTATCCTGGGTTTCCTCCGAGGTTTCAAAAAGCCATGGGGGACTTAAACACCCTGATTTGAATTTCAATGCAATTCTTGCACCTAAAGGCTTCATTTTGCTTCTGCAAAAGCTCATAATGAAAGTGCTGGGTCCCTGCTCTGCTTTATGCAGGTCCAGCCCTCTCGTGGCTGCTCTCCCTCCTGCCCTTCTAAGGGGAGGAAGCCTTTGCTTTGATATTTAGTATTATTTTTTTCTTTTCCTCCAGTTGAAAGGCTTTGAAGGCAAAAGTGATGCTTCTCCCTCCCAGCCAAGCAGGCTCCTTGTCTGCTGGGTCCCTGCTGTGGCTGCCCTGGGGAAGGTAAATCATTTTGGGAGAGCAGGGCCTCCAGCCAGCCTCTACTGCCCAAGGAAGCCTCTTTGCATCTCACAATCAAATTACTTCCAGAAACTTGATGTCTTCAAGGGAAAGGAGGAAAGGGAATGTGCAAGGGGCTGGAAGATGGGGATGTTCTGGGAGGGAAGGCAGAGTCTGGAAGACCTTGCC